CTTTCATGCAGTCTGTCTAATTTGGTGATCAGGATTTTCTAGTTCAAATGATTCTTGTACTTTATTTTTCCTTTATCCTTCGTGTACAGGAATTATTTCGAGGACATGAAAGAATTTTTTCATTGAGCTATGTAAGGAATTTTGGGGATTTATAGTGCAACAGTAGTAGGTTCCTAGTGCAGTTGTCGATTACGAAAGCTCTTAACAGCTGGCTGTTCTCGGGTGGATCCAATTCTTTTCATATGTCGGCTTTCAGCGGCAAAATATGGAGTATTTGGAGTTAGCAGTTTCCTAGAAGTGTCTCAGATATCTGGATGCTAACATCTAGGTGCTCTATAAAGAATTACCGTATTTTTTCAGTGATTACTATCGTGAATCTTTGCTTTATGTGTGTCAGAGTGAAAAGCAAAGAAGTCGGTATAGTGCATATCCATCGTCGTCCGATTGGTAATTAGCTAGAGTGATTCAAGAGAACTCGTCATAATAAAAACTCAGGGACTCGGATTCAGAAATGCGATGGCAAATCTTCTTTGCAGAACTAAAGGACTACGTTTTTTCTCTTGACATTTGAAACGGTGAGAATTCTGGATAACTGCGAAGAATTTGTTAATAACTGGAATATCTGAAGACCTGGCATTTAGGCTCGAGATTCTTATAGAAGAGACCTCGTTCTATCGTTCCCTATGTATATTTTTTTGAAATTGAAAAATGAAAGTGTAAAAGGAAGCTAATGATTTTTGATTTCTAACGATGTTGTAGAAAGCGATGCAGTCACTGACGACGCATTCGAGGAATCGTCCCAGAAAATGTAGATTTTGTCTTGGTAGGATTAGACGGTTTGTACCTTGTCCCCAAAGAGCCGTAGGTTCCAGCATTTGCAATTTTAAAGTTTGTGATATGTTATTTTCAACTCGACAACCTAAACACCGTACCCAGCCACTTATGAGTCATATACGACTCATTTTAGTGCATTGTGTCATGCGATGCCTGTCCTTGAAACATGCTCATTTTAGCAAGCATCAGTGGGATCGAGTTTGAAAATATAGTTGTAGCTGCCTTTATTCTGTCCAAGAAGTGTCACACTTTTGCTGTGTCTTTACTTTGTATGAGCACGAATCTTGGATACTGATATTGCTTTTATTACGATGAGGTTGTTTCCGAGCAGATATGAGAGATTGTGGTTGACCAGTGCGGAGTTAAATGGGAGACCGTGGGTGTATTGCCGCTTACACCTTTATAATCTGTTTTGTTTGCTCGCTCATTGGATTCTTTTCTATTCTAATTGTGTTTTTTTGTCTATAAACTTTTCTGAGGACAAGTAGTTTCCATTGCTTTTCTTGATGAGGAAATAAGGTTGTTGTTTTACTTTTTATTCGCAAAAAATCTGACGCTTCGGAGGATTTCGCCTTCTTTAAAGCCTGGAAAGGTCAAGTTGACTGCGGCCTCCTCGGCCAAACACCTCCATAAATAAAACAAAGACATAAAACCAAGATTCCAATCGCATTGAAAGCATAATAGCTTTTTCGCACACTCACAGCTTTCTGTGAGTCTTCCACTGAATATTTCACGAAGAGACCAACCGCACAGAGGTCACATGGATGGGTAATGTGCCTCTGTCACATTAAAATATCGTTCTTAAATGTTGTGTGAGATCTTGCGTGATAGTTTAAGCTTACGGAGAGTTCTAGAGGTCAGAAGGTCTGTGGCATAAAAATGCAATAAGACTATGAATTTGTTGTAGATTTTCGTTTTCGCAGTGTCGCTTTTATGGCTGATGACTTCATTACGGTGTGTATAAACTTCAGCGGTTTTCCTTGCAGGACCCGATGAGTGCTGCGTGCTGTCGCTCTGCTTAGAATGCTGCTCGCAGTGCGATGATGGAGCCAGCCGGCGATGTGTATAGTGGAGCGACTGCTCGAGCTCTCGATATGTTCAATCGTCGTGGTTCTGTGATCGCTGTCGTCATCGGAGGTGCTAAACTTAGAAGGAATTTATTGATTTCTTAGTTATAACGATGCATATTTTCGACATATATTTCGACCAAACTTAGAATTCTCCGATTGTTGTCATGTCTGCTTTTATAGTTCGTCCGTCTACATCCGGAAAATTCCGAATAATCTCTAGAAGAATGTCATTCATGAGCATCTATATTTACATCCTTTGTGAAAATTATACGGATGGTCACATTCCATGAAATGCTGACGGCCAGAGAAACAATTCCAGAGAGACGGAAATCCGCCGAGCTGTTTGACGTTGAGAACTAGAACGTGTTAGTAACCTCGTATCAAGTCTTCAGAAATACTTCACAGGAAAGGGTTTTCCGGAAAACTTTAAAAAATTTTGTTGCTAGTTGTGGTGTGAGTTCCACAGTATGTTGGGTGAAAATAACGCCACAAAGGGATTTAAGAACACCTAACGACCAAGAGGCATTGTAAACAAGGTACTCTATTAATTCAGGAATGGCAGGAGAACTCGTGAAAACTCACTTAGTTTTTTCTCAACAAAGAGACGTCATCTATACAATATGTGGTCCCGTGAATTAGCGAGTCTGTCATGAAGGCACCAATAAAGTCTACATTTTTCCTTGTTCACTGTGTTTCTCTTACTCGAAAAACTCGAGCAGCATTACAGTTTTTGTGTGAGGTATTCTATTTTTACAGGTTTTAAGAGAAAATAGCCGTGGCCATTTTGGCATGAACTGACATGATAGCTGAGAATAATCTCGGGTAATTTCTCTAGGCTCTCAAAGAATCGATGTGCAGTTTATTTATTGCTGGCCAACAACCTCCAATTTTCTTAGTTGTCACTGGTTTTCCAACAGTCTTGGCACAATCGAGATCATGTCGGTAATTCACACACATGGGAAGAGTAGCCACACACGTTTGCATAGATATTTATACGCTTATGTATGAAGTAGAAGACAGTTTGGTCCAAAAAAAAGTTAATCTTCGGAATTCTGAACTTATTATCTTACACTTGCTATTCGCCACGAAGCCTAGAAACTAACTGGCTCAAGATCCATAGTATTCTGCAAACGCTTATGCAGTGATTCATGCTTATGATTCAGGAATGAATTGGTTGTCAGGAAGGTAGCTAAAGGTCTATTAGTTTTCCAAGAGGAAAATCCGTCGCACTTGTTTTCATAAGCATAAGATTGATTTTAAGCATAAAAAGCTCTACAAAATGTTTAATAAATAAAGTGTTGCTCTGGATCGGCTGCTAAGGAAGTACCTTATTGTTCTGTAGCCGATCAAAGGGTCTTGTTATTGAACGAGAACTTAGGAAAAGCATGGCTTCAAGTGGAACTTTATGCAAAGAAATCGAGTTCCTACAGAAGTGTTCGGGCCGAAAAATCCTTCTCTAAAAACTCTCTTTGTATTCTTCTAAGTTTATTGGTTTAGAAACACTGAAATGACTTCAGCTCACAGTGGTTAGCAGGCATACACAGAATAACAGGAAACATTTTTATCGATTAACTAAGGGTTCAGTTGAGATGAATGGGAGCTCTTCGTCATCACTCTTAGAATGTGAGCTGTTATTTGCTTTTTCAGGAAACACACCGGAATTGGTGTCGTCGTGCGTTTCTTCGTCGTCGACGGCTATTCCGCCCGATCACCCTTCCAGTAATTCCGATATGGAAACCCATGGTTCTGTTGATCCGCAGAAGTAAGTACATTTTTTATTAGTGGCTTTCTTAATTTGCTAACTAGAAGTACTAACTACAGTCGAATTGTACATCATTGTGAGTGTCGCGGTAAAAATAAAAATAATAGGATAAAGCTTTCGGCTTTGATCAACCCTGAGGAATCCACCATGCGTTCGACTTCATTAAACATCGCTGTAGGTGACTGAATGCATGCCTGGCCCTTATAATGACTCGCGGTAGCCTACCGATGTATCGAGCCAGTGCTGCTATCCTTCCAGACAAGTCTGGTACCAATTTGCCGACCCTGGAAGGATAGAGGGCTTGGTGGGCCTGGGACGCGGGATACTCCTGCGCCACACGCTCCCAGTATCGCTGTAGTATTAAAAAAACAAACATTCCAAACTGAAGATCACACTTTAGTTTTCGTTGAGTTTTGTAATTATTTTAGGTGGTCTAAAAGATGATGTATCTTTTTATTGCACTTGTGGTGCTCTTTATGTTCATGATATTTCCCTATTTTCCTGGTTTATTAATCAAATGCCTACGTTTTTTTTTCTGTTGCAGTTTTACATCTTGTCTCCAAAATGCTTGAAATATGCTGAAAACAGATCTGCTTCTTAAGGTTTCCACGTATATTCATGCATAAAGAGCGCATGTATTAGCTTTCCTATCACGCTATAAATGTGAATTATTACAGAATTATTGAGGACAGATGTCTGTTTTTGAGTGAGAATTGAAGAGAAAGAAGACAGATCTACTTCTATAGTCACTTTCCTCATCAAAAATACCAATTATCTAGAAAAGAGCGGAGAAGGGAATCACATTTAAGCAGAAGACGGTTTTCATACGCATTCAATAGAGTTTCACTTCCTCAGCAACCTCTGACGTCGGCGGCAGCATCTGTCGGCGTAGCTTGGAAGGGCCAACGGCAGCGGCGGATTCTAGCGGAACGAAAAGGACTTCCGCTTAGTTTATGGGCTTTCATGATTTCTTGATAGATTACTACTCTTATTGTCAACGTCTTTGCAGGGACATACAGAAAAATCGAGTTTCTTCGAGATATAATGAAGGATTCCAAACTTATCAGCTACTTCCTCCTCATCTTAAACTATTTTCCTACAGACTATCCTTTAATAGTGTTCAACTGATATCTGTGGTCTTTCTTTTAGCTTCCTTTAAATGGAATATATTTCTAAATTTTAAGAGATCGTTCTTATCAAAATTAACACCTACACATAAAAAAAGCACAATAAGCACTTACTTGGATGCTTGGATGGCCTGTCCTCACTAGTTGTGCAGTCCGCACCATATTCTCCATTTTTCGGAGTTTTGCTGGTTCAGCTACTATGTTTCCCTGGATTTCCGAGGTCAGCCTGGCCAAAGTCTGCCCCAGGTCGCGGCCCCTGTGGATCAGAGGGAGATTTGCCACCATGCGACTTTTATACCAGGACAGTGGTGTTTCCTGGTATTGGTTTACTCTTAGCTAGGTTTTCCAATGGAAATACCGTACTCCTTTTCTGTTTGGGATACTCTGCCCGGAGATGAATCCTCCTGCTGTACATCGCAGACCGACACTCAGGAACATCTCCCACTCACGATGAGGTAGTAAACCGTTAGCAGAAAAAAAGTGAAATTTGAGGAAGAACTGTCAACTTGTGAAGCTGTTTAAGTATAAGCACAAATTAACGAGTTAACCAATTCTTGAGATAAATATAGCATAATTTTCTGTTTTTGTATACGATTTTGTTCTTTTAAACTTTTCAACGCTCTTATTAACTCTTCAATATTATTAGATTCTGAATATTCTAAACAAGTGAGCGCATTTTGGTCTAATTTTTAAAAATTAATTTTGCAAGACAATAGTTTATAAGTGTTTGATTTATTTTTCATTTTTCATTCATTTATTCTTCATTTTTCACTGAAAGGGTTGCCTGACTAGTGTGGTTATGTCTAAATTCACATCTAGAGAAGCAAAATGGTACGGAAATTATTGTTCACGCACAAAAGAAGCCCACGTCCACTTCCATTTTATTCTTTCATAGTTAAATTTATATTGGGAACTGAAACTATGGGCGGGATAGTTTTCCGCACCAACATAGACATAACGCTGTTCTGTGATAAGTGACTAGAGATAAGTCGATAAAAGAAGAATGCACCATTTACAGCGATTGGCGACCACCGTACCCACGTCTAATAGCATTCCATGACTGCCTCTCACTTGCTTCGGCCTGGTCACTCGGGCTCAATTCGTCACTGCTCGACGACAAACCAACTGGTTCGTTTTTGTTGTCGTATATTCCACATCTGTCAACTTCTAATTTGTCTGCTATTGAAATCTAATAGTTTTTACTCCCATCAAAGGCTTTTCTATTCGGCTGTTTCGGAGATGAGGTTCTACCAGGTCTTTATTGTAAAAGTTCTCGGCGTTCATCAATCTCTGAGGGATGTGCCATGCATTCGACCACATCAAGCATCGTTAGAGCTGATTGAATGCATATTTGGTCTATACATAATACTCGCTAATACAATGACTCGCGGTGTATCGGGTCAGCGCTGCTATCTTCCCAGAAAGATCTGGTACAAATTTCTCCAACCCCAGAGGGATGGAAGGCTTGGTGAACCTGGGATACGGGATCGATCCCATGTCTTGCAGGACGCCTATAACCACTGCGACACATTCATCCTTTACATTTCTCCATTTACTGTCGTACGGAAAATTTTATGGATCCTTTATGAGCACAAATAGTGGTTCTTGAAGTGTATTTTCCATTTGAGGAATATCTTTATTACATTAGGAACTTTATTAGTGATGTTGTACTGTGAAAATAATTATACTATTATAATATTAACTTTTTTATCTACTGCCTTTTAAAATTTTTAACGGCAGGGTATTATGTAAAATACACCCACAATGTTGTTTTGCGAAACTCCGAACCACAGCTGTCTGTGGTGGGGAACAAACACGCTACAAACTTTTTCGCGGACAAGCGAGTTCACCGCCTTACCATGCTTGTCCTTCGTTTCGCCTTTCTCTGAAGTGGTTTTCTATATACCGGTGCCATCAGCAATCATCCATCAACGGGATTGATCTTAGGAGCCCAAATCACCACTAAAGCCAGTTAAACTAAGTTAAAGGCTGTCGTCGAAGGGCTGTGCCATACACCTGCAGTCCGGAGTTTTGAAAAGAGCTCAGCATCATTGTGGTTCTACTGTTATGCTTCGCAAAATTATACTGTTGTAGTTGTTATACTTGTAATGCTATTATTGTGCTGTTATACCTATTATATTATTACTTACTATTATAATTATGCTATAGTTTATATGGTATTGTTTTACTTTATTACTGATGTTAGCCTTTTTATTTACTTCCTACTGTCATTTTTCACGGCGAGGTATTGTGTGAAATGCAACCACAGTGATGCCGAGATATTCGCAAAACTTGAACTCCAGCCCAGATCGAACCAGGACTACCATTTTCGAGGGCTCGCGTGTTACATACTGCACCACTGAGGTCATATTAATGACGCTTAGAACCATTTATTTGGCAAGGTTGCCAACTTCTTAGTAGGAAACCTCCGCTTAGGTGACTCTACTAGAGGAAAATTACGATTATGTAGCGAAGTCGAATACTGAGAAACACCTGCAGTTCCCATAAGTCGGTGAAGCATTTGGAGGTGGCTGAAGTTACGATTTCTGGAACTTTTTGCGAAATCTTTTGTAAGCTGCCCTACGTTGTGGTAGTATTCTCGATCTTCATTCTTTGTGCAGAACAATCTCCTTTTTTTTTCTTTGGCCGTTTCATTTCCAGGAACTGAGTAGGATTATAGTCTTAACCTTTTTATTTACTGCCTCAATGATGGTGAGATATTTGCAAAGCTTTGGACCGCAGATGTCTGCGGTGGGGAACGAATGCGCTATTGTCCTTTTTGGGGAGTAATGCGTTCACCACTACACCATGCGGGTCCTCCGTTTCGACTGTATCTCAGCTGGTTCTATAGATCACTGTCATCAGCAATCACCCATCAACGGGATTGATTTGGGGGCCCAAGTCGGCATTGAACCCAGTTATCATTCATTCATTCAGCATCATTGAAGTTATATTTCGAAATATACTCTGCCATTAAAAAGAATAGGCAGTAAATAAAAAAACGGTTAAGATTGTGATTATAACTGTAGCCTCAGCTTAACTGGGTTCAGTGCCGATTTGGGTTTCCCAGATCAATCCTGTTGATGGGTGATTGCTGATGGCAATGATCGATAGAACTAGCTGAGAGACAGGCAAACGAATGAGCTGCATGACGTGGTGGTGAACGTGTTAGCCCTCGGAAAGGGTAATAGCGCGTTCGTTCTCCACCGCAGACACCTGTGGTCAGGTGTTTTGCAAAAATCTCAGCATCATTATAATTATAGCACGTTTTATTTTCTTCTTGCAAGTAATTTTTATTGCATTTTTGCGTAATACATGAAGTGTTATTTAATCGGTAAAGTTTGCATGCGTGGAGCATGGTAATCTTCATCTCTTCGTTTTTCCTCAGTGATTAGAAACAACTTCAGGTGCTTCCCAAGCGCAATCGCCATGTGAAGACGATTCAGGTGACGGCAAATCCAATGAAATGCTGGCCAGTTGCCCAGCTTTTAGGTGTGTGTTGTGATTAGTTATATTTTCTTTCATAATACCTTCGAAAAAGAAAAAGAACTCTTCGTTAAACTAAGAGCGTCTTTACGAAACATACCGTAATGCTCTGCTGCTGTACAGACGAATCACAGCCATTCTCATCACTCTCATATCGAGTAGGGTTGGATCTCTCATGTTGCTATCATGCGTTCTTCCCTTCAGTCTAAATTTGTAAATGTTTGCATCCATACGAGATTATTCACAATTTCTGACATCATTTGTTTTACATTTCTGTTCTATGCATATCGAATGGCATACTTTGAGCGGCATTTTTTTTGTTCGATTGTTCCTTCATATGGACATAGGGGGCCTTTTCGCTTTGTCATTATATTCATTACGCAAATTTGGCACTATCTGAGTTCACGACATCATGGAAAGCTATGAGGAGAAATCACATACGTAATTTCTAAGACCGACTTTAAGTTAACTTCGGCATTGAAAAATAAATTTATGTCTTCTAAATAAACAGACACGGTGTCTTTTTTCCTCTTCCTTTTTACATGACTGGTCTTCATATACGTTATGCGGATTCTTGCCAACACTTCATAAATTCCATTTGCTTTCTTGCACTCATTCCCTATGGGAAAACCGATCCTGTGATAGGCATGTTAGGGCGTTATTAAGTTTTGTGGGCCTGAGGAAGCATTTTAGATAAGTTCGATATCAGTTTTTGAACGCTGAAAGAATGGAGCCTTTTTGGCCGAGACCGGATTCGGACAAGGGAAGGCCAGGAAGTTCGTATTGAATGGTATCAGTGCAACTGCTTTACCCATACTCCTTTTTACCGCAAAATTTCTTTCAAAATGACTAATCATTCGGCGAGTTTGTTCTTTAAGGTGATGTTTTTGTAAGTGTTTAACTTTTTGAGAGAAACTAGCCCCAGAGAGTTCATATAGGTGAGAAGTAAGTTCGAAGAAGGCGAAATAAGCCGAAACGCTAGCCGTTGTGAAATAAATATTCTGGTAACGACCTCGTATCTGTTTATTTAGAAAACATTAAGGGACCATAATGCTGAGAAAATATATTGTTGCATCTCACAAGGAAAAATGAGTTGTTACAGGATCGTTGTACTTAAATATACTTTCTAAATTTAATACTACAGTGTTTGTGGGGGAACAGAAAGCCTTACTACTCGTTAATGTATTTCACTAGAAATCTGGGAATAATGACAAGAGTTCAAGGTCATAGTCAATTTTTGTAAAAGTTCAGCATAATGCAAACTCTCCGCTTTTTTATTGCGAGAATAAATTTGGCACTTAACAGGAATTACCTTCGTAAAATCTTTTGATGCGAGAGAAAAATTCTCGGTGCTAACCACTTCTTCACCGATTTCCGCCCACTTGAAGCTTAATGAGAAAGAGCTCAGTTCGTGCGACGTCAAAAACTGTCTTTGTAAGATATAAAACTAAGAAGTCTGCGAAGTAATCTAGATCTTCTCCCTATAAGTATCTGTCATGATCACACACCGATTGCAATGCCAGATGTTCGTCGAAAGCGTGTGTGTATGCGAGTTCAATACTCAAACAGTATAAGCTTGAGCTAACGTCGAAGCATTGGACTAGTATATGTCTTCAGTTTCCTAACCATATCGTGCACAGTCGTTTATTTAGCATCTATTACTGACATTAAAACTGTTGTATTATGCTAAGAAATGGTGCGTTAGTTATCCTACAAAGCGCATCGACTCTGCAACATTTGCTTCGTTGATTTTTTTCTGGATTTCTGACTTTTCGCTGTTAATTTCTTATGGGTAAATTAGATTTTTTTAAATTTATGGTTTAGAAATGAGCTGGGAAGCGAACCAACTCGCCGCCTGGCACTCAGTCGATACACTCGTGATGGTCCACTTGAGGTACATGAATGTGAAAGCTGGATGAGAGAGGTTCGACGGTTACTCTCAGCAAAGTTTCTTCTAATGTCTTATAACAAATCAATCAGGCTGAAAGTTCTAATAAAACTGCCGCTATGCTTTTTTTAAAGTCACAAGCTGCCAATCTCGCTAAAAGATGATGTCTACATCCGAATTTATAGTGGGCTTATGTGGAAACAATAGAAATCGATTTTCGCGATTGCATATTACCTATGTGCATGCGTGCTTCAACCCATTCCATACTATGCTATAGTGTTTGTAAGTGCTGGCTTAATCGAAATGGTTCTTACTTTTCAGAACACTTCTGCTGAAGTGGGAATTTTAGAAGACGTCTCAAATGTCTATTTGGGAGGTCGGCTTTGCGCTGCCAGACAACCTAAGAATGTTATCGAACCACAAGATATCGGATCTTACTACTACCGGCACTGCTTTGCTGGAAGAGGTTCGTCATCCTTTCAAAATGACCAGCTGTTCAAGCAATTTTTATCATATTTCAAGTTTCGTTGAAAATTCAAATATGGAAATATGCTTAGGTATTTAAATAGCTCATTCTCAAATATGTGTTTAGTTTCCTATAGGGGTTCGACTGCCACTTGAGGGCCTGTATTCTTATTTTCTCATTGGATACGATTTCAGTAGAATATGATTTTTTTTGAAATTCCGATGTTTCGAAAGACAGTCACGGGTCCTTGTGAATCTGATGGTTTACTGCCATGCGTGATACATTCTTCCAGGGCAGTAGAGGGTCGTACATATAGTCGACCCGGTCGGGGATCGAATGGACCTCGAATCTCGAAAGCAACTGTGGTTACTGGAAGCCCAAAATGATGAAACTTTCCTTTTTTCAAAATTACATCCATTAAGGTGAAATCTTGGAAGCACTAAGACTGAGTAATTAATATTTGTATCCAAAACTTGTGTATTGTGACGGTTCCATGCGCCAGGAGTTAACCAAGTCACCCTATACTTCTGAGGTTGGCAAAGTATCGGAATAGTCTGGAAGGATAAATACACTGACTTGGTAATTCCTAAAATCGACTTTTTATTAACTTCGGCATTCATCAATAAATCGTTGTTTTTTTTTACATGCAGAGACGACGTTATTGCGCCCTTTATTCACAAACGCCGACGTTTCGGCGGATTTCGCCTTTTTCAGAGCCTGCAAATGTCATGTCGATTGCAGTCTACAGCCAATTATCTCCTTAACCCAGACAAGGAAATCATTAAATTTAGATTTTGATCGCATTACAAACAAAATAGCTTCTTCGTACACTCAGTCATAGTAAACCTCAATTGTGCGAAGAAGCTATTTTGTTCCCAACGCGATCGAGATCTAGATTGTGATTTCTGTGTTGTGGTTATGGAGGTATTTGGCTTAGATTGTTCTCAACTTGACCTTTCCAGGCTCCGAAGAAAGTGAAATCTGCTGAGATGTCAGCTTTTATAAATAAAGGGTGTTGTAAAAAATTCGTATGTTCATGTTATGAAAACGTGCAACATATTCGAGATTCTTTATGGAGTCAAAGCATGACCCTAAGGGATCCATGGAATAAATATACGTGTACGTATACTTATACCTATACCTACACCTATACCTATCTACTCGTGTTCATCACGCAGACGGCCCAAGCTGCTTAGGCACCAGTTCCACGCCACTCCGAGCCAACCAAGTTTCTCATCTCTCTGAGATCGGCAAAATTGTACCTTTCTGGTCCGTTACAGGCTGAATTCCTCTAATCCACCCGGGAGCACCAAGCACGGCTATCTCAGGATTCCAGGGGAGAATTGACTCGATCAACACAACGGTATTCGTGTTGAATACGAAGAATTCTTCAAGCAGCAGTCGAAGCCACACACATGAAAATTCGAAGACTTTCATGGACGGTGAGTGGAAGCAAACGTGCCGAATGCAAGAATTTCTAGGATCCGCGCAGTGTGCTACCTGTGATGTCGGGTCATGTTATAAATTGATAATAACAAATACCTGAATACACTTCGAATTCAGTGGTCGGAAAACAAATTAATTAATAGTTCCCAGGATCGACTTTCTCTTAACCTCGGCATTGGGATATGAATGTGTCGTTTTCTTGTTCAGCAATCGCGAGGTTTTTAAACAGCATACATTTACTTCCATAAAAACACAATACAATACAACGCTAGCTGACGTTTCGGCAGTATCGCCTTCTTCAGAGCCGCTTTTTCGTGACTTCCAATGAGGAAGTTTAGAACAGCTGATTATAGTCGCATGTGGTGATTGCTGAACACCTCGCGATTGCTGAACAAGAAAACGACACATTCAAATTAATTAAATTAATTGTTAATTATTTGTGCAATATTTAAAGGAATCTTGATGACGCTACATGGGAAATTGGTTATACTGTTTACTCATATATTCGGTGAAGGAATTTCTTTAGGCAACAACAATTCCAAAAGTTGCCTGTTTCTGTGTTTTTCAGCTCATGTGGAGTACTTCGGCGTGGACGATGAGCTCGGGCCGATTGCCGTCAGCATGGTACGGGAGGCGACCGAGCGCACCGGTTCGGCCATTTGTCGAGTCATTGTCAGGATAAGCGACGTAAGCTCTTTTATTTACAAGCAAATTATTGTTGGTTTTAATGCCTAAGTAACATTTACGCTATTGTAGGTATTTATTTTTTGTCAGGTGGCGGAAAGCACAGTGGTAATGATGTCCGTCATCACGAGCATCGTGCTAGTTCGGTTCCGCTCTGGGACAGCCAAGCCCCTCATCCCTCCGGGCCTCCGGGGTCGGGAGTTTGGTATCAGACTTGTCTGGGAAAAAGTTACTTCCTAAGTACAGCGATATTATCGTTGTTGTAAAAAGAGAATGTGTAGCGCAGTGTTCGGAGGTGCCCTGCAATACACATGGGATCGATCCCCGCTCCCCAGATCCACCAAGCCCTCTATCATCCCGGGGTCACTAAATTGCTACCAGGCCTGTCTTGGAGAAGAATAGCACTGGCTCGATACATCGATAGGTCTCCGCGAGTCATTGTAAAGGCCAAATATGCATTCAGTCACCTCCAGCGATGCTTAATGAAGTCGAATGTATAGCGTATCTTTTAGGGAAAGATCGACGCTGAGAGCTTTTTTTTTTTTTCGAAACCGACTTCCCCTGAACCTCGGTGTGACTAATCAATATGCATTCTTTCTTGAGAGCTTTATTTATTATACTGAGAGCTTTATTTATTATACTATTTTCTTCTTTGTTATTAATTATAATTATTGCTGTTTTAATACTGTTTAAAACTATTCTTAATTTTATTGGCATCGTTTCTTTTTATTATTTTGGATAGCTGAATTCTTCCATTATTGTATAATTTTTCAGCTGCGAACGATGCGATTGTCGGTACCCGAAGAGGCGCTTTCTGATAGCGCTGATCGCTCAACCAGACCACTCATGAGGGAGCTCATTGAAATGGTACGGGTACTCTTTTTCTTTTTCTTGTTTTTTCTGCATTCCTTTATTCTTTTGTTCTTATTCAATTGCTCCCATATTCTGCTCTTTGGAGGTAAACATTAAGTTAACACATGTAGTTGGATGATATTTTTTTTCTAGAGCTAGATGCTGCAGCAATGCTGTATAGTAATTTGGTTGCTATTTGTCTCTTTGATATGACCTCCTTTAATTAAATGATAAGTATAACAATATTTCTAGATCTGTCCGCAGATTAGTTTCGGTTGTATGCGACCGGCGTTGCAGACACCTCGGATCGAAGAGATGCTGATGAAGATAGACGAACAGCCTATCTACACCCGTTACAAAGTTGGTATAATGTTCTGTAAAGCTGGACAAAGTACAGAAGAGCACATGTATAACAATGGTAAGCGTCTTCTCTGCATTTTACCTACATCGTTATCAGTTGGTTTCTTGAGGAAGTCGACTAAAGTTTTCGAAAAAAAAAAGAATACACCTTCTGTTGAGTTGTGAAGAATTTCTCTTTTTCCTCTCCTGTAAGTTAGATTGGATATTCTCGATGAAGGGAATAAGATGAGTTCACGTGTCTAATATAGTATGAAATTTCTGATTGTGGAAATCCATCAGGAATCTTCTTTATTATCTGTAAAAATGGTATAGATGAACTAGAAAAAGCTGGGTGCCAGGAAAATAATAGCCTCTAGAAGATTCTTCGATTGAATTAGCAATAAACCAAGCGACGAAAAAGTTAGTTTTTTCTTCTTACAGAAAACAATAAAGATAGATGTGCGGCAGAATTAACAACCTTTCATGTTTTAACTGCTGCGTTTGTTGGTTGGTAATGTGTTGTGAAGGTTTGTTGAAGAGATCAATCAGAAATAGCGAGGATAATTTCTCATTAAACCGGCTAGATCCATTTCAATGATTTTTCCTCCATGTTATTTTTTCTTTGTCCCTTCGGGCTTTCTACGAATATGTTTTTGTTTTTGTTTTTCTGCAAAGTTAGTCGTTTTCAGAACATTCCTCTGAAGCATTTGACGAGTTTCTGGATTTTATTGGGCAACGTATTCGTCTGAAAGGATGGGATCAGTACAAGGTAGGTGGATTCTTTGGAAAACGCCTGTAAGGAAATAATTAAAATAGAAAAAATCTAGTTTTAGTCATTCGAAACTTCTTAGAGCTGCTCCTTTTTAGTGCTTGTTCAGTTTTATGAAGTCTTGATATATTTTTTAGCACATAATGCATTCCTTCCACAAAATCACAAATTGTTTGTCAGAGTTGAGACTATGAAGTTGTTTTTCGAACTCCTTTAGTCTTTTGGTAGGACAATGCGACCGTTAATTTGCAAAATTAGTTGCGCAATTGTTTTGTAACTTTACTGGGAAACCAACGGCACTTAGTTTTGATTCCTGAACAAGTTTTTGTACAGGGTGGTCTCGACACCCGTGGTGACACGACCGGGACGCATTCGATCTTCTGCGAGTACCAAGCCCATGAAGTCATGTTCCACGTGTCAACTCTTTTACCATTCACACCAAGTAACCGGCAACAAGTACGGTTTTTTGACATTCAGATAAATGTACCGAAAATTTCCAGTAGATATGAGAATTTGTCAAATCTGACGAGATTTGAAAGGGTAGTTAGAATCTAGTCAAGTTTTGAGAAAAGTAAAAAAACTTATGCTAATTTTATGAACACATTTCTATCAGTATACTCTACATTGCTATTATTCATCGAAATCGGAATCATCGAAAAAATTTTGTCAAAGTGTTTAGCACTTTGATTATTTCGTTGGAAAATTGTTTTGACTGTATAAATTTCTTAAATTGTATCGCGTTGGGACGGGACGCCATCGCCGTATGTCACGAGCACGGTGCTGGTTCGACCACTCTCCACCTCATCCATCCGAAATCTAAAAATTGGTAGTTGAATTGCCTGGGAACAGTTGACTTCGTGCAATCCAAGTGGGAGCACTCTAGCCTTGCTATTCCAAGACTCCAGAGGGAATCAATTCCATCAGCATTCAGAGACATTCATGGCGAAAAGACAATATTCCTCAACGAGCGATCGAATCCATACGCAAAAGTTGGAAGACCTTCGCTGATTATGAATGCGAGAAAACGAATAGAATGCAGGAAGTGCTGGGATCCGCATAATATAATAGATGTGAAGAGGGATCGTATAAGAAAAAGTTATACCACATTTTCATTGGTTTTCTAGGTCTCATTTTGCTGCTTTATGGAGATTACTAAATTTTTAAGAGGTTTCTAGTTCACGCTTTTTATAGGTTGGTAAGAAAATGGCTTAAAAAGCTTTACGTGACTAAGAAAAGCATAGGAAAACGAATGAATAGGTGGAACCATGTGCGATCCTTGTAATTCTTCCACTAATAACTTCGTCTTGCAACTACCATTTATAGGCGTGTCCTGACCGCGCTCCCACGATCTGCCGCTTCTGATTGACATATTGAAGACTAATTGATTGTGGTTTTCCCTCGGATCTTGACATAGTAATACTAATCCATTTTCACCTCGTTACCAGAAGTATGTCTTCGTTGACTAAAGGGAGGTAGTTTCCCTTGTGGTTTACATTTTCACACGGTAGTAAGGATTTTTCTGATTTCTGGAGTCAAGAAATCATGCGTTTAACCTACTGACTACTCGAGGACGATGTAACACAAGCCGAATCTGGAGAAAGTGAACAATATTTAGAAGGAATTTTAGGACGTCTCCGGGTATGTTGAAAGAATCATGTGTCGGCCAGTGAGGCTAAACCTCAACGACACGTACCAAGATGGGTAGATATACGTCTAGCTGACATAAGTCGGCTCTAGGTGCAGCTGAGTATGAGTTAGAGATCACGTACCCTTAGTTACAGGCCTTATCAACCCCTTATCAACCTTGGAAAAGACTATCTTCATAGGTGACAGTCGAGATGAACGAAGAGATTCCACTTGGGTTGCGAAAAAATGTTGATCCAAGTATTTAGCTGTCTATTTGAAACTAGCCTATGATATAACAGATGTATGATCATCACGAAGGGATAATTGTATTGATAACATCACAGTGTAGGAACACCAATAAAATCAGCAAGCACCTGATTGTCATTGTTTAAGTGAAGATGTAAAGGAAACTACGATTAAAATTCGGAACATTGTAGAGAGCCTAGCAAGTAACACTGGTTGGACCACCACATATCGTGATGTGACCCTTCGGTGACACGTATTCACGAAGAATGCTCGAACAATCGTCATCTGACTGGTATTTAGCTGGAGAGACAGGACTTCTTTTCAAGGAAGTTTGGAGATTACCGTCTTAGGAAATTCCCATTTCGTCAGCATATATAACCGTCAATCCTAGGAGATGAGAGAGATGCTTGCTCTTTTTCCTACATTTCGTGGGCATTCCTTTCCATAGGTTTACTGCATGGTCTGTTAAGCTTTCACTCGAAAGTATCCAATTCTTTTTCATGTTGGATGATCCTATCCGAAAACGATTCGTCCGTTCATAGTTCTACTATCTGTATGTAAGGGATTTCGTTAATTACTATTTTGCTGAGTTGTATTAAATGAATTTTACACGCAGTATCTAGGAATGAAAAGCCAGAGTCGAACTCATGTCAGAAAACGCTTTTTTCTCTAGCATAGATTTTTTGCTCTCATTAAGTGTTAGTTAGGCGAAAGCTAGTTACTTCTTACCAATATTCCCAAAGTTGTAACAAGGATGCAATAGTGCTCTCACACTTCCTCCACCATCCTTACGTATCAGTACAATTCTACCGATACAATGTTTTTCATCAATAAGCAGACACGAGGTTGTTAATATAGAATTTATTAGAACACAATTGCTGACGTTTCGGCGGTTTCGCCTTCTTCAGAGCCTGGAAAGGTCAAATTGAGATGCGATCTACTCAGCCAAACACTTTCATAACCCTAGCAGATAAAACTTGATAAATCGATTTGTGTTCGCATAAGAAACAGCTTCATTCAAACACCTACTGTTTATTTGTTGTAAGTATTTAAGTTAGTTGGTGGATAGCCGCCGCACAGAGTAATACATGGTCGATAACTGGGTCCATGTCAGATCATTGGATCAGCCTGAGGTATGGCGCTAGGTCACGCGTGATGACAAGACACTCCTCCTTGCGGTTCATTTTTGAATTTTTGGCATTGATCCAAAACGCTTCAAGAGTTTTTCGCGCTGATGACGCTGATGTCTACCGATACATTTTAAAAGCACATTCGAAATTAACTCCTAATTCAATCGTCACCGTTTCTCAGGTGTCTGAAAGTTACATTTTTCATTGAATGTATAATATTTATAAAGTAAAATGGGAAGATTACAAAAAGCATGCATGCGGTGGTGTATAGCGTACTGTCAATGTTCTAGTTGTCGCGGAAGCGTCACATCGGCAACGACATGGTGACAGTGGTCTTCCAAGAACCAGGTGCCCTTCCATTTTCTCCGATTGCCGTTCGCAGTCATTTCCAACACGTATTCATCATCGTTCGTGTAAATAATCCCTGTACGGATAGCGTATCCTATAGGTGGGTTCGTACCACACAGTTGCCCTTTCCTAATGGATTTTCTTACTACGACACTAACGCTCTGCTAGTTTTTCTTTAAGAAATCTATAAATTGACTACTTTTCATTTTTAAGAAAACCTCCGTTAGATGTAGGTACGAGGTACTACCGACGGCTCTGTTTTACCCGGATCATGGGTTTTTGTATGTTAGTTAGGCCATGGGCAATTCCAATCATAAGCTTAAATTTCAATCAAGTCGTATTACAGAAAGGACTAGTTAATTAAACAGAACGTTGCATATTTCTCACACGTTCACACGTGAGATCATTTTGATTTCAAAACATTAGCAATTTGTAGAAGCTATTTGTTAGTGTTTGGTGAATCTGAAGTATAAATTCAGCGTAGCAGTGTCACGATCGAAGGAGGTGCCGGCATTTGGCCCGCCGATTCCGAAAGGAGCCACTTTTAGTAAATGCGCCGATTTCCATGACTGGCTGCTCACAAAAAGTACAGTTTTAATACCTTCAAAAACCCTAAAAGAACTCGTTCGTTAAAAAACGGGAGAATATTTTTTCAATTTAACGTGTTATTTACTGCCTATTTTTTTAACGGCAGGGTATACATTGTGAAATATAACTTCAATGATGCTGAGATATTTGCAAAACTCCGGACCGCAGGTGTATGCGGTGGGGAACGAACACACGCTGTTGTCCTTATCGGAGAGCAGCGCACTTCACCACCACACCATTCGGATCCTTCGTTTCGATAGAATCGCTAGAACTAGTTGAGAGACAGGCAAAACGAAGGACCCGGATGGTGTGGTGGTGAAGTGCGCTGCTCCCCGGTAAGGACAACAGCGTGTGTTCGTTCCCCACCGCATACACCTGCGGTCCGGAGTTTTGCAAATATCTCAGCATCATTGAAGTAATATTTTTTTCCTTCATAGTCATCTAAAAAATCTTCTGATTCTGGTTCCTGTAACAGTACTTAGGTGACACGAGGACCTTTCTTGACTCGATGATGATAAATGGATCTTTCAACTACTGAACGTTTGAGCAGCGGAAGCAAGCAATAATTTTATTTTGCCAGCGTTGGTTAAGATTTGGAAGAAATTCTAAACTTATCTAACAATGATTTGGTGGAAACAATTTGAAAATCGGAATTCAAAAAAAAACTTCAATTTCTATCTCCTCAGGATTTTACCTCTTATTCTCATTTTTTTCTCCTTTCCAGTAATCAATGCTGAAAATGCGGTACATCGTTCAAAGAAATTTGCCACAATGGCGGCCAGAACTCGAAGGGAAGCCCTAAGGGATTTGGCCGAGAATTACGTGGGCACTCATCAAAATGAAGGACCCAGCAGGATTGCCAGTCAGTTCCATGATATTCCGCTAATGTAGTTATTCTCGGTGAACCATGGCTACATTTGTCCTCAGTTCTCATGTACTTTAATTTCAATATCGTAGGAGTCCTGATATTTCTTGAATTATGGAGAATGGAATCACTAATTTTTCGACAGCTCAAATTCTCATTATCTGATAGTTTTACGAGATTTTTGACAGCCTTTCGCAATGTCTTCTCCTTCAGCGAATTGATGAGCTCGTTTAATTTTGTTTAGAATCGCCCAGCCCATTCATAGTGTTAAATTTTTTAGAGGATATGCAAATTTTCTTTTGGTTAAATAGGGACAGCATCGTCAACTGTTTGAAAATTTAGGTCGTTTCCTGGGTGGAAGCGTAAAACGAAGGGAAAGGCAAAACCCAAAGCCGTTCCTCGCCAATACACGAGGCGCACTGTCATGGTTGGTGGACGTGCACGACCATTCCACCAATCAAGTAAGCCGCATAGCATAACTGTTTCGCACCACCCCTAGTCGTGGCACAGATAGATTCTATGAAGTTACATTTTTTCCTCAACAAGATTGTTGACGATAGGGAGAAAAAATGCCTATTTTATCAGAAACAAGGAATTCTCATAAAATTTCGTTTTTGTGAACGAGTCTGCTAATGATTGGAGAGGAAGTACCGTTTTGGTGAACACTGGTGTAATCCTTATGTAGTTATTTAGACTAGATAAATTAGTAGTTATTTCTTCTAAAGACTGACAACGAAGTTATAAATATTTTTGTTTTCTAAGAAAGTTCCTGGATTTTGTATGGTACGTTGTTTACGTGCAGTTATACGTTGAACTTTGTACCATGGGTGGCGAATAGTAGAGCTCTGAATTCGAAGACTGAGTTTTTGTCGTTTTACTCGGAGATAAGCCCTACAGTTTGTCTTACCAGTTCGTTAGTTCAGTTATGTTATAAGTGGATTAATTCCAGAAAATAAGCTGTGTGTTGGGATTATCACAGGATGCTCTGGTGTTACTGGAGAGGCCGTCTGGAATAGCAGTCTTTTCCACACCTACGCATTCTATCATTGGGTGGGCGAACACAGACACGGGGTCAGTTTGGTTTTGTTCCTTGTTTTTGCTGTTTGATTAGAAATCACCGTCCACTATTAATAGTTTGTATGCCTTAGTTTGCAGGTTTTGTCATTGTGTATCCTAATTTTTTATGCAACATTTTTTCGTAAGTAGTTGTTTCCAATAAGTACAAGTGAATCCAATATTTAATAATCCATTTTCCATTTCCATCAGGAAGCCCACCTATGAGTAAACCAAAACCGGAATTCGTTACCATCTTAGTATTAGACTAGTCGCATGATGGCAAATCTCCTTCTTATCCACAAGAGCTGCAACTGCGTGTGGCGGTGACGACCCTGGACAGACTTTGGCTAGACTGATCTTGGGACTCCAGTGAACCACAATGGCTAGGCCAGCAAAGCATCGAAAAATGGACATTGTGCTGGGGCCCGTACAACCAGTGATGAAGAGCCATCCAAGCATCCAAGTATCTAGGTTACATAACCAGAACTGATTAGTTACGAAAATTGATTACATTCGTATCGGTTGCATTGAGTGATTTAACCTACAAAATTCACCTAAACGCTTTGTCAATCATTTTAGCAAATTCTTTCATTTTCTATTTATTTAGCTTGAAAATCTACTATGACCATGGTGATATGTTGTTGCTTCGATGTTGTACTGAGAGCGGAACGGACGTCGAACTCGGACTGCTTTTGCAACGGTTGCAGGCGGTTACTAAGGGCGACGAGGCCAAGGAGGTATGACGAAGTGACGAAGAGAATAATTTATCTTATGACGTCTAGGCTAATAAATGCAATATTTCTGCTGAGTAGTTATCAATATTTTACCCGATGATCATAATTTCGGTTTTGCACCATGAATTACAATATATTACGTAGGCTCAAACTCACTAATGAAAATGAGGAGCATTGTAATTTGAAAGGAAAACAAGGATTTAAATAAGAAACCCCACATTTTGCTAACTGCTGGCAAATTCCTCCGTTTCTATGGCTTGTCCAGAAGTTCCGGTTGCAGCAGTTCCCCTAAAGGTATTTCATCAGCAACTTAACTATTGAAAGTTTTTCGTTGTTAATGGTTTTGGAGATGCTATATCAAAAGTCGATGGCCAAATGAAAAGAATTCCGATCAGTATAGAGGGTGAGGCAGAGTTTAGCAGGATAGTTGGTTTAGCTTCTACAGCGTTAGTTGTGCGACGCTCGGTCGAGCATTTTGCTATGGAGGATTAGTCCTTTCCTGCTGAACGAAGGTTAATAAATGTTCTACAGCTTTTCGATGCGAGTTCATAACAACAACTGTCTTCTCCGATGATTTCGCGAGGATTCAAAAAATTTGTAATATTTGGCTGCATACGAACACTACCGAAAAGTCACCATAACCTTCTCCTAATGTAAATTTGGTTCTCTAGAGAGCTAATCATTCGAAGCTGGCTTTTCTGTAATTGACGTTAATTTCTCGATCACTAGAGTATTTCCAGAGTTTTGGACGCTATAGGTTTATAGAAGGGCTTCCCTCTGTCGCATTAATAGCGTACATAATTTTTATTATAGAACCCTTTCAAATTTAAAAATGTTTATGTTTAAAACTTTTAAAAATTGGGAACGAAATTTAGGTTTTTATAATTTTTCTATGAAAAGCAGCAGCTATAGTCATGAACGGTACTGACACCGTCGTCTCCTACTGTGCTAAATCCCTTTTTTTTCATTTTCTTTCGTGTTCATAATATTAGCATTAAAGCACTAAAGTGGAAAATAATATATCATAGGTTTGGGAAAATGAAAATGTAATCTCAGTAGAACAAAAGAATTTTCACCCTGTAGATGAAGACTTGTGGATTCTAATAGTTTTTATTACAATTGGTAAAATTCACTGGACTAGGGTTAAGTTTGAAAGCCGGAATATTTTGCGGATTCTATGACTCCTGTAGCAGCAATGTCGTCCCATAACTGCAAAAAACCTCACCACTGCCCAATCCTTACGTTGCCGTTTATCTCTCAACGCATCGATAGGATTGTCGTTTTTGTCGTTTAGATTTCTGACCAGCTGAGGAAGCACATGAAGTTTCTCCACCTTTCCAATTTTTTCTTGGTATGCTGAAAGACCCTAGAATGGTTAACGTTGAGCTCTTGAGCAACTTGTGTTGTAGCAATAAGAGGCTTGGCTTCGGGCGGCCATTACACGCGCCACTTCAAGACTTCCGGACTATTTGTAAAACCTTTTTAAACATCACTATAGTGTACGTTTCGTAGCGGTTTCTGGGCTATATGCTTTGTGAATTTTATAAGTGGTACACTGCTTTACGACCCATTTTAAACTTGCATAAGATGATCGCTTGAATTTGCTCTTTGTCTAGTGTCGTTCTCGTAGTTCAGCTCATAAAGAAGGAGGTAATAAGTCGTTAGGAAAGCATAAAACGATAAATACACTTTAAAATGGGCTGTAATGTAACCATATTTATTTAAGAATGTATTCTGATATTGGGTGCTAGTAGCACAGTCGTAACACCATTCAACACACCCAAGACTCTGGTTAGTCCACCATTGCGCCAGTGAAGCTCAGAATTCTTGTTGGCCACTGTGTGTAATGAAGATCTGTAGAGAGAATCGGCTCAACCAACATTCAACGGCATTCGTGACGAAAACGAAATCTTCATGCAAAATCCGAAGACCATCATGTAAAACAAAAAACTAAAAAGAACTCCAATATCGAAAATCAGAAAATTCAAGGCAGAAGTTAGCAACTGCCATTATTTTCACACTAATGTAACAGTTTTCAAAACGCATAAAGGTTTTTGAATCCTTTGTTTTCTCCACCTAATATTCTGTTGGAAGTTTTTCGCTTTATTTCACGGCTTACTCTTTCCTTTTTGTACAGGTGGTGCTGCGTCGTGCTCGTCTTTCCGACAGTTGGGGCTTTCACGTGCAAGATGAAGGTGTAGTGACAGATGTAGAAATGTATCAAACCGCATGGAAAGCCAGTCTTCGACAAGGAAGTCGAATAGTCGAAGTCAGTTAGGGCTAGCCTTCTCTTCATTTCATTCTTCTCTTTTTTTCGTTGTTTCATTTTTCTTTCTTATTAGGGCCAAGAAACTATTTTAAAACATGACTCGGCGCTGTTAGAGTTAAATTAAAACTTCGATTAATTGGAAGTATAATACAGCGGAAACATAAATCGCTACTTTTAAAAATACCGTGACTTGAGGGACCATAGCAAACTTATAAAACTGGGTTCCATTTATTTTTAGGTGTGTCTGTTTTTGCTTCATTTGTTTTTATTCTTTATCTTCTCCACGATTTTTCTTTCGTCAGCACATTTATAGATTTGCTCTTCTGAAGTAGTCTAAATCACTTAAAATTAGATTGAATCGTTGACTGTTGCGACGTTGAATTTCGATAAGATCTCCGAAATTCTATCCGAACGGGAGACCGTTCGTCTGCTGCTGATCTCTCCCGCCAATGATGGATCTCCCAGACGGGGGTGAGTGCTGTCTAAATCAATAAAGTTATAGATTACGTCCAATTCGTTCCATTCTGATTATCAACTTTATTTAACATATGTTTTTATACTGTGCCTTGTATTTGGGTTCCCATTTTTTTCAGTACCACTTTACCTTATTGTTCAGTGATTTTATTAACAAGCTGCCTTTTTTTGTGGAGCCATTTGACTTTCCACTTTGTGGTTTTCTTAAATAGCTTTTCATTCCTACATTGCTTTTACGTCTTTCACCAATGCTTGTTAATTCCTGTTCACTTGTCTCGGAAAGATTTATCCCAACTACTGTTATCCTTAGCCTGACCGAAGTTTTTAATAATTCGGAGCTCTTTTCCTGCTTATCACCCTTTCTATCTCAACGCTTAACTTCAGAAGTTACTGCTACTTTTGCAAAAACGACATGGAACAATGCAATGAATTCTTGAGCTATACCTTCAGGTTTCTTAATCCAACAATCCCCTTTAATTGCCATCATTAAAAAGTAGCAAGAAAAGTGAAATCCTTTGACCACAGCGTGTATATGATCTTAGGTGGAAATTAACTTCATAGGTTCATCTTCTCCTTCGTTTTAGATGCGAAGATCCCCATTGCCCTGCCGTTAAAGGCGTCGAACACATGATGACCCCGGATGCGTTTGCTAAACAACCTATCAGGTTTGTCGATATTAAAAAATTGACCATTTGTGGATTTATCTGTTCTACTGGAATATCATGAGAGGCTGAAGAGGTGTCCGTTAGCCTAAAAACACTATGATTAATCAGCGGTTTTTCAGCTACCAGGAAATGTTTCGAATGCGTAATAAGGAGTACGGTACATCTCCTGCAAGCAGTCCGGCTAGTTCGTTAGAGGATCGCTCGTTTACTTTTACTGCCATGAAACAACGAATGGACGGAATGAAAAATAGTACCGCTTGGTGGGAACGCACTTTGACTAGAAGTACTGTCGCAGTATCTGAATACTAGTCAGCGCCGTCTTTCTATTTTCTGCACTAAGGCCGATACTTAGATAGCTCGCAATGTTACTGATATAAAGAAAGCACTTCATTATGGACAATGAATATGTAGTAGCGCTCTGATCATTTCCAAAGTGTAAGTTAGCCGAGAAAGACATGCATTCTCTCTGGGACAATTATGTAGTACTTCAATTGTACCAAAATTTTTAGCATCAGGATTGATCATAGGTGAATATCGCTTAGGAAGGATTTTGTGCTTGGTTTCAGTTGCTTCTCCAATACGGCATCCGATCCGACGAATCAGCACGGTTCTGTCCAAGACCACATGTGTCTGACGTTGAATCCACCAAAGCCACTGCTCCGTGCTCAGTCGGACGAATATCTTCGATCGGGAACTTCTAGAGAGAACAAAAAGGTCTGAGGCTCTACATAATTATGTGTTTCGTATATGGTTTTGTTTATAAAGCCAAACCTACAACATATGTTATGCGGTAAAACGTGTCGTTCATTGTCTTTCCTTTTTTTCGCCTTTACTTTTCCTCACTTCGGGGCTACGGAACAAACATATCCTGCATAAGAAGATGTAGATGTACTTGTGTAAGGAAATTGTCAGCAGAGCCATAAATATAGAAAATTTGGTATTGATATGCCTGATAGTTTTCTGACGATAAGTCTTTAAGGAATTCCAGAAGTTTGATATTGCCAATATTATGAGCTTTCACCAAATCATGGTCTTCAGTTCTTTATTTATGAATACCGCGCGCGATCTACCAATCTTCTACATATTGTAAGCTCTTTCTATCTCCAGCTCCGGATTAATCTATTGCGTTCCATATGTATCCGTTCAGGTAGACGTGTGTGTGTGCCAGCGTGCATGATTTGTATTCTACTTTGGTTCATCTCGTAATCAAGTAACGGCCATGTATGTAGGAGGGGGCTCGAAGTCGTTAGGAAGGAGTTTTACGCTCACCTCTACGATAGAGCTTGGTAGAGCTAGAGGGACTCATTCGAGATGTCTACTCCTCTTCCGATCTTTTCGGCACGTAGAGCTCAGAGTTGATCAGCTTTAACGTGTAGGAAGGACTAATGGAAACTTTATGGTTAAGTGCTCGAGTCACAATGCTCTTGAAAAAGGGAAATTGAGTGAAATGAGCGATAACTCGAAATTTCTTACGTCCACATAACCTGCCTTCGGCAAAGCATCATTAGTGCTCTGTAGCTTGTTCTCAACGCTTTGAACAGCAGTGTATTAGCTTTTTTATTTTACTACTTGTTCCTTTTCGATGGCAGGATAGGATATGGAATACAACAACAAGGACGCGAAGATGTAAGCAAAACTCGAATCCATAGGTGGGCTGTGAATCCGCTATTATTTTTACTGGAGGCTCATATTGTATGCACCACCAAGAGCGTTAGCGGTTGTTTTTCTGTGATGTGAATCATCAGACACACAGAATGCGTAAGAATTATATTAGTCCATAATTATGGCCCTTCGTTATGAAAACACTGACACTACGGGAATCGGGCGTTGTAGAAATAACATTTTTTTTACACAGATACATGTCTGTAATTTATAAAATCTAATAATTGAAATAGGTAAAAGAATTTATGGTTGTAGAATTTGCATATGCATGTGCATCCAGTGTAGGTGAAATCAACCAACTACGGTAGGTGATTGTAGGTGAAATCAATTAAGCTATGAGGAAATTTGGTGTGGGTGACGCGACATGTAAGCGTCTTTAAAGCGGCAGTTTGTAAACTCCGAGGAAAACAGCTAGCCTTTTTTCTCTTTTCCTTACCAGAAAACCTCTTCTTTCTGGGTCTGAACAAGCTGGAAAGGCGGTTGGTGCAAATGTCTGCATTTTTTTCTCGTATGTGCTGATGTGTCTCTCCTTCAGGCATCGCTCTCGGCACGTGAATCAATTAGCGTACAAGAGACTACTGAATTTGTACGTTGCCAACAAAATCTTGAACGAGCATATCAAGAGAAGAGGACACTAGAAATATTGGTAAAGCAACTCAGAAAACAATTATTGCATGTAAGTTTTTTCTTGCCATGTACGTTACATCGAAATGTCGCTTATAGTTGGACTACGCGGAAAAGTCAAATTGCTTGTTTTTCTTTGAGATTATTTAACTCTGTATTTCGATGATCGGTTTTTTTTTTCTCTCGAAAGCAAGAGTATTCCAGGAGCGTCAATGCCACGAGAATACAAGAAGAGAACTTGAACGGCTCAGGATACAACTGGATAAAAGATGACTCTTACTATTACGGAAATAAAATATGCAATAATATGTTGATTAGAAAAGAAGTATGAGTAAAATCTATTGATAAAAAATACTCGATAATTATTGAGATGATCAACAAATTATGGAGGAACAGTCGACGGCAGTTGCTAGAGGAGCCAACGAACGATCATCACAGCGTTTCTGTAATGATATCGATGAAATTGAGTTCGTTGCCCAGCACCTTTATCCTTTGGTTTTACGTAAAATCACGGTTTATTTTTAACGCTTGTACAATGTTGAATGAACCATTATGTCACTCGTTGTGCCGGCCGTTGGTCTAATTAATGAAAGAAATCGGACGGATCGTTCTAATAATCTAAAGCCACTGTTTCTACTTATATTCTTCTCATAGAGTACTAAATCTGATTTCTGTGTATTCTTTTGAGTATTTGCGAAGTTCGTGATGAATTCATGGATGTTTGAAGCTGAGACAAAAAAACGATCGTTTCTCGAAGCTTAAAGGATAAAGCTCTCTGCGTTGATCAAAAATCCCTGAGGGATGTGCCATGTATTCGACTCATTAAGTATCGTTGGTGGTGATTGAATGCAAATCTGGCCTTTACAATGGCTCGCGGTGGCCCACCGATATATCGAGCCAGTGTCGCTATCCTCCCAGATAAGTCAGGTACGATTTTGCCGACCCCGGAGAAATGGAGGGTTTGGTGGGTCTTGGGCACTGGGATCGATTTCACGTGCGTGCTGCAGGGCGCCTCCGACCATTGCGCTACACGCGCCCTTAGAAACTTATATATTAAAATTGATTGGAAACGGAGAGGGATAGTTCTAAGAAGTTCGCTTTGGTCAAGCTATTATATGCGCCACAGAAAGTACGCAAGTTTCCCCCTTGAATTACTGGCTACAGAAAGAAGAAAGGAAACTCACTTGTTTGCGTTCGGTGGATTTCGTAGCCGTGATCTTCGAACGACGGATTTTCGGTAATTTACTGGAATTAATGTAAGACGGAAAACACGAATGGAGCATGGTCATCCAATGGGGACGAAGACCAACCGCAGGATCTGGTTCGCCCTCATGGCGTCTCCGAAGGTGACGGATGAACTAGAAATGTTCACTGAGTCTTTGCTCAACAATTTGTTCTCACTATCTTTTTATGCTTTGTCAATTGATGGCTTTGATCTCAATGATTTTTATAACCATGTAAATACTATGTTTGCAAAAGTAACAGTGGATTTCGCCACCATGTTATTTACGGATACATTTCGCACTAGTTGTTCCTTGCTTATACTTTTGCTCTAAATCACTTTAAAGCTTATCTCCTACTCAATAGTTTGCCATGTTATTTTCTTCCCGAGATTTAATTCACAATGGTTTTGGGCTGGTTGCCATGGTGATCCAATGATGTTCTTTAAGGTTTTTTCCCGAGATATCAGTCTTAAAGGTGGAGAATGTATAGACGCATATCAACAGGGGACAACGACCTTCTGAAACGGATGATCAACGCAGGCCCTCGAAAAACCAGTTAAAATGTTATAGAGAAGCTCGAAATTGAGGTTTCATGGGTCATTTGTCATTTGGATTGTGCTGGAACGATGTAAAGATCGTTAAGGGGATGATGCATAAAATGAACAGATAGTTGCTAGATCATCGCCACGAGGTCTATTTTGCGCTTCTACACAATTCATTTCTCGATCGTGTTTTGCACAATCGTAAAGTTTCATATGGAACGGTATGAACTTTTTAAAGCACTTCCCAAAACCTTTTTTGGACAAACAGTAGTTGCTATCAGAAAAAATTGGCAAACTGGTCACAAAAGAGAAGGATAGAAGGGTAAAGGATAAAGAGTTTGACATGGACCAATCTTTGGGAAAGGCGCTACGCATCATTACTGCTGATGAAGTTACATGTAGACTATACAACAACTTGCGGTGACCTACTGATGTATTAGGTCAGTGCTTTTCATTCACATGCATCTAACCACTGCGCTTCATACGTCCTTCGCAATGATGGCATCACGAAATGGATGAAATCTGCCAAAATGCATACCAACATGGCAGTAGAAATGCTGAAATGCTTTCGAACTGCAATGGTCGACTGTATATTGCACTCGGAAACACCACACTCGTTGGATCTTCGGCAGTTACCACTTTTTTCTAGGCTTTCGATAACAACTAGCTGAGGAAATTTTAAGGAATCAAACCACTACTAACAATATCTTCGAAGAATTTTCCACAAAGGCCCATTACTGGGTTTACACATTTACGTTAAACTTTCCCTTGGTCTTTTTATTGCTTCACGCGCTGTGAAATCCAGGAGTACCACACTCCCTTGCTTACAGATCTCATCCAAGCGCACGTAAATTTGAAACGAGCTACCTCCAGTTGTTTTATAAGTGTTCACTTCCACAGAGTGTTTGCATATTCATAGAGTCAACTCTGTCTTCATTCTCATCTATCGTCAGCTATTTTTTATTACATCTGATCCACTGATGATTTCACTGCTTATTTGGCTTGATCTCAAAAACCGATATTTTCGCCTTATCTATGTGAAGTTGCCTTGAGGTTTCTTGTTTAGTTAAGCCCTTAACGCACTGTGAATGGCTGATATTTTACATGCTTATAAAAGTATACGACGTGGTTAGAATGTCCGAACAGACCTCAAATGCAAAAGAAAATATTGTGTTTGTCCAGTAGCATATAAAGTAGGATTTGGCCTCTTAATCCAAGAAACCCCTTTCTAAGCGCGTTGTCCATCGTATCGAAGAATTTTCATGACTTGAAAACCCATTTAACCACAGTACAATAACGCTTTCCTCGTTTCATTGATCTTTTGGGGCCCTTTCTTCGTTGAAATTTCTCAAAAAAATCTTTAACAGAATAACCGTAGACACGGTAATCCACTAGTGAGGAATAGAACCTAGTAGTAATGCTGTCAAGCAAGTTGCAAAGAATGCATTTGCTCGTGGCTTTCAATTTGAAGAAATTTTTCTCCTCTCCAGAAAGGGTTTTGGGTTTGGTACGGAATTTCTGGAGCGGAAAATACTTAGGAAGAATTTTTCCATGGATAGTTTTGTACCGAGTGCAATGTTGCAATTCTTTGACGAAGTTTTAAGTCCACTTTCCGATCTTATCGTAGTTTCATCGCCATGATTATTTAAGAAAGAAGATTTGGAATTCTGTTGAGAAACAATATTTGATCGCTGCTTACTAACGGTTGTCTCAACCTCTACCTTATTCGGAAGCAGTCAGCATGTGCGGTGATGACGCTGGCTTGTTACTGGTCAAGTGAGTTTTTTTCTTCCTGGAAACACTCTGCCATGGGATCCTGTATAGCCATCATCTCCGGCAGTTGGTTGTCTTTGGCGACCAAAGTAAGCTATCCATGTTGAAACAAGTTTTCTTCTAGGACGGTATCCACTGTGCTTCTGCATGGAACATTGGCAGCCGGAGTAATGACGTTGGAGAAAGAATACTACTATGGATTTTTATACTCTATCTGATCAGGTAGCTCTCAGGTTTAGCAGTAGGTAAATTAAAAAGCGACTTCCTAGTTCGGTACGCAGAAATGAGGGTTCCTACCGAAACGCTTCATGTTTTGCTCGAGTAGTGCTTTTTTTCGACTCCTATGATGGTGGTTATTTAATGTTTCATATGGATAACAGTCGTAATCCATTAAACGAAATGCATGCGTCTCGTTGAACAGTAGAAATTAGATTGGACCTGAACTCAACTACAGATCCTTCCTGGCAAAATCGATGCAGAGGATCATTTTTCCTTCCCGGTTACACATAGGTTCTTAGTTGATCCACTAATATGCGCAGACAAGCATTGAATCGTTGAAGAATTCAACCAGATCATAGTTGAAGATTGAGGAAACTCCACATTTGTTGTTCCACCTTTTCATATGACTAATAGCAAAAGAACGGGTACGACTGGGAAACAATGACCATCTTCTGAATGGTTAATTCAAAGTTCCTATTGAAAAGAAGTCTGATGATGGTGTTGTTAAATTCTGGAATCTTGTTAGAAACAGACGAGGGGATTTTAGTGCAAGTCTCTGAACCCGCATGGCGTATGGTTCGTTAAGAATGAATAATCATATTAATAACAAAGAACCACGGATCTTCATTATACCAGGATCTCGAGCCGGTTAGTCGCGAGGCTACGTGGCGCGTCCCAGGTGGCGGATAGGGGTTAATCGCAGACCAAAAGCGACTTTGCTTCCCTGAGGCTCAGACGGATCCATAGGATGGACTCCCCGTTTCTGCTGTGCCGATTTGGCACATACTTTCTGTATTTGCTAGGCGTATTCATGCATGCGTGTGTGGGTGCGTTCTTGCTTATCCGGATTGTATTCTACGAGCCAATTCGGCCAAAAGCTTGCAATCTGGGAAGTGACTGGGAAGTATATGGGAAGCGGTTAGGACTCGCCTATGCGACAGGGAAGTCTGCGGCGGCGGCGTTCTTGTCAACAGGAATTTGTCCATGAGCATCGATTCATTCGAATAGCTTACAACCCGAATCGGACGTTTACGATTAAAAAGATATGGATCAATACCGGCTTTGACAATCTTTGCGCTTACGCGCCGACGTCAAACTATGACGAAGAAGATGTCGAAGCGTTCTATATGGACTTGGAGAAGTTCTACAGAGAAGACCACACATTCTTCAAGGTCATCATTGGACATTTCAACGACAAGATTGGACCAAGAAAAACGTTAGAAAACGCCACATTGGGACCCACGAATTAGAATGGAACGAACAGGGTGAGCAGTTCTCTGGGTTTATTATGGCGACCAAGACCATCTATGGTAACTCGCAATTCCAGAAACCCCACCCTCAGCGCTGGACGTGGGAGTTTTCCAATGCACAGTATCGCAACGAAATAGACCACATCATAGTAAATAGGTTTTGCCTAACCGATGTCGCCGTTGTCCCAAAATTATACACGGTACCATACCCCGTCTCCGCGCAGGATTCTATTTCTCACGGAAAGGAGAAGAAGCCGCTAAATTGA